AAAAAAAAAAAAAAAAAAGGACAAAGAAAGTTATTAAGTTAAGAAACAGCAAGAAAGCACAAAAGAAAACATAGCACACAATACTACACATCAAATCTCATGCAAGCTGTACTAGGGTTTAGTGAATACATAATGCAATACATAAGAAATCTCTCCAATCACAAAAGAAAAGAGCCAGTGGGAGATGTGATGGGGAACATTCTCATGAAAGAAAAAGAAAAAAACATGATGAACATTCCCTCAATAATGTGTGGACCAGATGCACTCTCACGGAAACTGCAGAGCCAAAAGATTCCCTCAGTTGTTCCATCCCCCTCTGTTCCTTCTTACCTTCCAGCAATAGTAGCGGCCGTCGCAAACCCATCAATCAAGTAAATGCAAACTGACCACATATTTCTCACAATCTGGTGAGCTGCCAGAGCAGCAACGCCCAACTTCGACGCCGCAACAAGCACCAAAAAGAATGACAACTGCAGAGGGTCACAAACGGGAAAAGAAACAGAAAAAGGTTGGTGCCTCTTCTGCCTTCCTGAACCTTCCGCAAAATTTCCAAATCTTGTTTGTTCCAACCTTTCTGTCCAGAAGATATGCCTGAAGAGTGAAAAGACTGTCGGAGGGCATACTCATACCGCCGTCTTCACCCAAATAGACCACACCCTCATTCTAGCTGTATTTGGGCCAAGTTTCACTCTAGATACAGCAATAATGAGCATACCGGTCTCTACGATGGTGAAGATGGTTGCAGTTTCCCGGATGTACACAACCAGAGAAAAACCCAGGTTCAAGTCAAAAGAGCCTTAGTGTGAGTATGCCGAGCCCTGAGACTGTACTTGGTCAGTCAATAATGGCATCCACTGACTTTTATCTACAACATGGTTCTGTGCATGACAGGTCTTGAACCACCAGTCCGTGAGACCCTTCTACAGACCTCCGAGCACCTTTTATCATGAATGAATTTAAATCGGCACAGTCAGTCCCATCCATGGGGTGCAGTACTTCGTGTGCGTGGAGGGGGGTGGGGGGTTGGGGGGAAGGGGGGGGTGGGCGCAGGGCAGTACTATGCGGGCTGAGCGTAGTATTATACGGTTTGGGTGCAGTAGTATGCGGGCCGGGTGTGGGTATTATTTGGGCTAGGCGTGGAAGTAAGTGGGCTGGGTGCAGGCTGCACCCGGCTCACATAGTAGCACAGTACCCACATAGTGCTGAAATCAAGCTCACATACCCCCGCACCCATCCCACATAGTACTCCGCCCAGCTCACACAGTCCTGCATAAAGCTCCATAGTACCGAGCCCAGCTTGCATCGCATCAACCATCCCATGCATGCACACACCAGCCTGACCACCTACATAGCAGCCACTTCCAAAGAGTGGCCAGCTCTACAAAGCAAGTGCATAGCAGCCAGCGCGAGGTCTCTCCGGGGTTCTGAGGGCCTCTCTGCTGCAGGCAGAGCCGCGACGGCCAGCTAGCTTGTTAAGTGACTGACTGGACGGCCTGGGCGAGCAAGGTCCAGGCAAGGTCCCTCCAAAAGAAAAAAGAAAAAAATAATAAAAAAATCTGAATGAAAAACTACGTTATGCAGCATAATAAACAGAACAACTTTTGCCTCAGGGCCACACCAAAATTCTTTACCAAATTGAGACAAAGCAATTAAAATCCAGGAAGATTTTCATGCCCGCCCGGGAACACGGGCGTGACGCCCGCGGTACCCTGGCATGCAAAAAATTATAAAAATAAAAATAAATTGCCTTTCTGCGCTCTCCCAGAGGACCCCAAATCTGGGCTCTTTTCATTTTTTGGGAGTTGGCTGTCAATGGGAGGGAAGGGAGGTATATATTTGTTTTAAAGGGGCTAAGGGGGTTTTAAGGGGGGTGCCTTAGTGTGATTTTGTTATTTTCTTTTTTATCTCGGATTCGGTGAGGAATTCTGATGTGACCCTCAGCCAAAAGTTGTTTGTATTGCAATGCTACGCAACATTTCTTTTTCTGGAATTTTTTTNTTTTTCTGGAATTTTTTTACTTTCGGTTTTTTTTTTTTTTTTTTTTTTTTTTTTTTGCGAGGGGGCTGCCTAGAACCCTGCCCGCGCACCCGGGCGTGTATCCGGGAACAAGTTGGGTGCCCGGGCACTCAGAAAAACAGCCTCGATTAAAATTAAAAAACAAGTTCCTCTTTTTCTTCTTTTCTTTCTTTTTTAAAGTTTTTTTCCCTTTCTCCCTTTTTTTTTTTTTGTTTTCTCGCAAACAACTTTTGACGATTATAAGCCGTTTTTTTTGGCCCGCCCGGGCAAATGGTCCTAGGCCACACTGGTAGCCAAGTACTACATTGGTCACTGGTCGCCTGTAGACCCTTGGCTGGGATGTATCAACAACAAAAAGAAAAGTACAGTGGGCAAGCTATCTGTTGTTCCAAATTATTATCCGTCGCTGATATGCTAATATGAAAGGAATCAAACGTTTGGAGACCAGACGATTGACACTGACCCTCCCCAAAGCAGATTGTGAACATAACAGACAAACCTGAGCAGATTGTGAACATAGCAGACAAACCTGAATGAAAGTGTTACGAATAACGAAGCTTATGCCATCGAGAATGAACTTCCACAAGCTCTCCGACTGGAGTTTGACAGTCTCTTCGTCTTCATCTGTCACTAGGGCTAGTGAGCCTGCTTTTGTGACACCATCTCCACCCTCCACATGGTGCCCACAATCGGGATTCTCTCCAAGTAACGGTGTCTCTTCAGTATGCTCCGTGGGTCGTCTTTCCTTCCACAGCCCTGTTAAGAACAATAATCTAAATCAGGACCAATGCATAACACACAGTAGATTCACACTACTGAACTTCCCTTCCTTCCCTTGCCGCCTTGCCATGGTTTGTGCGTCATCATGCTTGTGATCTGGTAACAGGAGTGGGAAAAGGCAGAACTCAGCAGAGTGTAAATGGACAACCAAAAAATACAGGAAGCAGACAAACAACATTTACCAAATATCAATGAAATCCGAGAAAACGGTTCTGCAATATTACTCTGTATGACTATATAATAAACAATCTCTCGCAGCTTCACCTGCAAAAAAAAAAAAAAAAAAAAGAACAGAAGATATGTAAAACCAAATAACAATGCTCGCAGCATAACAACCGAGGTAAGGAGCCTCTCTCTCTCTCTCTCTCTCTCTCTCTCTCTCTCTCTCTCTCTCTCTCTCTCTCTCTGTGTGTGTGTGTGTGTGTGTGTGTGTGTGTATGCAGCACGCCGTCAAAGTCGCCTGTGAGAGAGAGCATTCCTAGACGAATTGGGTCTGCCATAGGCCAGTACAGTACTGACTGCAACGAGCCCTACGAACCAGCAAACGTACTGTATCTGCAGAATAGCCCAGGCAGCGGTGCAGCGATGAAGATTTGATATTGTGGTCTGTTTATCAAGAACTGTGTCAGAGACGAATTCCGATCGCCTGATGATTTCTCAAGCATCCGCGTTGGGCTTGATCACGTGTTCATCGTTCTCCAGATCTAGCACCACAATGTCAAATGTCTAGTACAGCAATACCAACGCCCGCCAAGGCATGTTCATTCATGGTCTTGAGAACCAGCCACATCGCATCGAGGCCACCACACACTGAGGGTGTTGATCCGGATCTGGTGCCCAACTGCACGGACTATCAACTTTTATATATGTACAAGAAATATCACGGGTTGCAACTTGCAAGGTTTTTTTCTTTTGGGGCCATCTAGTAACAAAAGGAAAACATGGCCAACGCTAAAAATTCAAAATCCATGTCCCTCTACCGCATTCGAGATCATGTTGTCGTCACTAACCGTAAAAAAAAAAAAAAATTAAAATCAATTAAGCGCCTGAATGTGGATGTCTTTTGTGCAGAGATGCAGAAAAGCAGATTAACCGTGATTTTCTGCACCTCTCCAAACACGTCCACATTCAGGCGCCCAATCCAATCCTCTTTGCTAGTGGGCCTAGTAGTGGCACCTCAGCCCAGAGGACGAGAACAAAAGTAGAAAAAACAAAATCACCTGGCTGCAAATCGGTGCGCAGGTTAGGCCTCGGGATAGGGCTCATTTTCCTTGCATTGGGGCCAGAGGATGACAAAAAGACGAAAGTGGGACTTCGTTATGGTATGATTTTGTTCAGTGTGTCAGAAGTAATGTTTTTTGTAGCTGTTTTGGGGGGCTTTCTCGGCCAGCAGCCGATCCAGCTGGTGGCACCTTGGCCCAGAGGACGACAAAAAAACAAATAGACCGGGTTCTAGACCAGAGGACGACAAAAAAACAACATCGACCGGGTGCAAGTCCGGAGCAGAGGACGACAAAAAGACGAAATCGACTGGCTGCAAATTGGTAATCTCCTCAGCCCAGCAGGTGACACTCCCCACCAATAGAAAGGAGCGTTTTTTGGGGGGGAGAAAAAAAACAATTTGAAATGAGACAGAGCAACGAGAAGGACAAAAAAGAACCTCACAAAGACTCTCCCCACTGCCCGTTCTCCCTCCTCACAAAAAAAACATCATGTTGTATGCGCAGTGGCGCACCATCTACGTCTGTCCATCCCAGCCACATCGTGCACAGACACGGAAAAAAAAGGATACAAGAAAAGGAAAAGAAAAATCTCCCAAAAGCTGACAAAACAACAACGCCCCCCCCCCCAAAAAAAAAAGAAAAAAAGAAAAAAAACACGCAAAAGAACTGTCGTTGGCAACTGCGCCCAGGCAGGCGCCACAAACAGCCGCCGGCAACTTCGGCTCAACCCTTTGTGAAACATCACTCTGCTGCCGCTACCAGACCAGACTTGATCCAAGAAGTGTTGCATGTCCTGCATGGGGGGCCTCTGTGTTCTGCATTCACCTTTCAATGGATAGAGACGGGCGGAGGAGGGACAAAAGATGTGTGCAAGAAGACCCTGTTCATTTAAGCACAAGCAAAGGTGGTGTAAAAGATGGTGGGCAAACGCTCTGAGAAAGCATTATCGTCATGGTTGTCTCGAGCTAAGGGCAGAAATTCATCATGCTCGTCTCATGATAAGGGCAGGAAAAATAGAACTCGGCAGAGAGCCAACCGACAAGCAAAGCACAACAGAGACACACAGAAACAAGTAGCAAGAAAAATAAAGAGACATCATTCTTCCCGGCCAGCAGAAGCAGCCCTTGAGGGTAGGATAGGGCCTGGAGGGTGGGTCGACTCATAGCAGTCCCCCCCTTGTTAGGTGTCTAGTGCCACAAGAGAAAGGCTGTTCCTTGCTTTCTCTTCACCACTTGTGCCTCCTTGCTTGCCGGTAATAAGCAACCAGAAGGATGCCCCCCAGAATAGAAGGGGCTTTGTATTGTGTTAAAAAAAAAAGTAAATAATAATAATAATAATAATAATAATAATAATAATAATAATAATAAAGAAAGTAAGAAGGAAAGAAGATACATTTTACTGCTTCTGAGGTGGCCTATTGCGGATAGAGTTTAACACTGGGGGTGGGTATTTGCCAAATTTTTGGAGTGATTTGCATTTACTTGGGAGCATAGTTGGAGTGAAGGAACAGTTTGACCAAAGAGGGATACTAGGTGGGTAAAAAAGATACCTCAGGGCACGCTTTCTGGGATGTATGTGACCGAAAAGACAGCCAGATTCCGTCCAGAAAAGTCCCAGTGTCAGTCCACCATGAAGTAATTGAGGTACATCGATCACAACGAAATGATACGGCGAAACATGTTGAGGAAGCGGGTACAGAGAAGGCATGGAAGGAGTGGAAGGGGATTTAAGGGAAGAAAGAAGAAGAATTTGCCATCTACAAACCAGACAAGGGGAAAAGAAGTTGCGGCAAGAGATGGGAGGATTTATGAATGGACTCATTAGTGAAACTAGTAGGGGCAAATGGCACTTTGTGGAGCACAGGCTGGATTCAAGGCGTAGCAGTAGGACTGAGATGCGAGAAAGAGGGGGCTAACCACCAGTACACGTGGGCCTGGCGGGGCCGCACTGCCCGTCAAGCTTTGCCAAACCGCCAGCATAGCACATTTTTTGGCTGGCGCCACCAGCCGTTGCGGTTCAGTCGCCCGGACCCTCCGAAAGTTTAGGAATAGGCCATGAAGAAACCTTGCAAGGCTGGGGCCGTGTACTGGCCATTAAAGGCATGCAGTGATTGCAGTCTACTGAGCAGGATGAAATGTGTCCTTGTAACCAAAGCTTGTACATCTGCAGCTCAACAACTGAGGTTTGCTCCCTTGCAATGTCATACTCACATAATCTTCTACGTATGGATGCCCACCACGTCCAGAAGAACGGAAATATCTGTATCTGCCCCTCTGCCTCTGGAGGCGGGAGGAAAATCACGCAGAGGAAGGCTACAACGCCTGCTATCAGCGCAGCTGCGACATTGCTGATTCCGATGCCCGTCATCCCAGAATCGAGAACGAAGAGAGCAATGTAGCTCCCAAACACGTCGATCCCCACCCTGCATATGTTGATTGCTGCGACGAGATTGACTCTCTGCATCCCATGGCACCACCGATTCAGACAAAAGAGAGGTAAAGTCAGAACCCACTCAAACTGTGAAAAGCAAATGTGAAAAATAATTAAGGATATTGAGACACGGTGTCAAAAATCCTTGGTGGAGCAAGGCAATGAGGGATACAGATCCTGAAATGAAAAATAATTGAGGATGTTGATGCGGGGATATGCCAAACATGATTTCCGCCTGAAGCTACAGGTGATGCACCTGGTAACGAAACCCGACTTGGGTGAAGTAAGCACTGTGACTCCTATCCTTTTCAATCATCACAAAGTAAATCCACTCAACCTAGCATAAGGGCTGGGCTGGGTAGGTCCTGCTTAGCCCTGTTGCCCACAACCGCTGTCTGGCCAAGTCACCCCCGTTGCGATGATAGGAGGGTGATATTCCTGAGTGGTAGACACTGAGGTAGGAGTGTGGGAGTAGGCGTACACCAGGGAGAAATAACGAGAGGGGAAGGTCGGGAGGGAGTCTCGTAAGGATTAGAGACCTCTACGCGTGCTGCTCCCCACGAAAAGATCGGAGCTTGTCCTCAAAAAAAAAAAAAGAAGAAGGATTAGAGACCTCTACAGACCATCTGGATAACTGATGGACAACTACCGAAGGGGACTGTCATAACATCCAGCCTCTACAACAACCTGAACTTGAAAAAAAAGAAATAAACTGAGTGAGGATGCCGCCCGGCTGGTTGGGCCCGGGGGGGTCGCACAGGTAAACCTGGCGCGACAAAAAAACACCCAGAATTTTTTTTATTTTTTTTTTGAAACCGGGGTCGTTGTGCGCTCGGCGAGAGGACCCCGAATCTGCAATAAA